CAAGAACGTCAAAGGAAATTTCTCCACAGGAAGTGCCACCGACGTTGTTAAGACTTATCGACTTTGAGCGCGTTGCGGTGTGACGGATGAATTTTCTTTAAACTTCGCGGCGCAATTCTCGCACTTGTGTTACTTGAGTAAGTACTTAATGTTTACACTTGTAAACGGTAACAAGTCGAAAGCGTTTCGTTTGTTCGGTTGCTAAGGTTAAGTCCCTGATTTCGGGGAGTTTAAATGTGTTTGTGGATTTTTGAAGTGAAACTTCTTTACGCAAGCTTGACTTGGGGGGGTAAGCTGGCGAATGCGTTACGCGTTACGAAAAGTTGTTCAGGCAAGGCGAACAGGAGTTGAGTGGGGGATATAAGCAGGAGAAAGCAGGGCGCGCGCACATTTTCTTTCTCAACTAGTAAATGAAGTATGTATAGACGTACATACGTATATATTGTACACATATATTTTTCTTCAGTCTTGTGGCCATAAGCACACACATTTTTTTTTGCTGTTCAATGCGTGGTTAAAGACATTTAGTTTTTGAACTTGTAAATAGTATAAGTAGTTTTTTTTATAAATACGAGGCGCACCAAATTACCCTCTCCACCTGATGTTAAGTGCAAGTGGAGTCCTGTCGCAAAGATAGATGATGCTCAGAAGTTGTGCTGCTCCAGCCATCCTCATCCCGCCCCCCATGACAACGGCTAACTAGAGCCGAGGTCCGAGTCTCAGAGACGCCCTCTAGTTGAGCCGACCCCCTGAGTTTTGAGTGGTCTAGAGGCTCCTGACGGACAGGAGACTCCCCCCGTGGGGAGATGCCATCCGCCTGGAATACCTCTAGAGGCACTCGTCAATTCTCGGCTTGAGGTCCCCTTAGGATCTCACCGTCCCCAAACGCAAACGCAGATGACCTTTACAGCGTCACCGGACTTCCTTAACTGTTACTTAATTGGGATCCTTATAACCAAAAAGTCGTCGTATTTTTGGAACTTTTTTTCGCTGAAGAGTTAAAACAAGCTATGTTAGGTATCATTTGTGATCTCCGAGCTGAGAATATTTTCCGATAATACTTGCACATACATACCTTAACCTTTTAGGTACATACATGTATACGTAATCCCTTTTCAAACGTGTTCGTTCAATCTCGTAATGTCAATTTCCTGTAGCAAATTACACGGAAAAAAATGATGTGCGACATCCAATTACTCGATCGTTTATTACTTTTTAAAAGCTTATCTACAAGCGAAAGAATACGGAACCCTAACAGGATCACTTTGTTGTCCGTCTGGCTGTCTGTCAAGACCCTTTAACTCGGGACCGTGTGGAGGTGTCGCTTTAATATATAAACCTTAAACACAGGTCTGCGGTCCTTTGAAACTGTGAAAAAATCAAACTACTAAGTTGAAATAAAATTATTTTTAAACAAAAAATAAAACCGACTAATAAATCGTTTTTTTTTGGTTAAAATGGAACTTTAGTTCGATTATGAAGTCGGTTTTATTTTTTGTTTAAAAGTTTTTACCTTTCTACCGCCAACCCTTTTTTATGGCGGTATGAAGTTCGCAGGGACAGCTAGTATCTCTATATTATGATAGTCAGGCAGGAAATAGAAACACTTTCGCGTTTATAACATTAATAGAGATAGGGCTAAGTGGATTTTTCGATCGCATTGGAACGCCCTTCTGGGGAAGTAACCTCCACCTTACAGATGACAACAGTAAAATAGCACTACCTTTTGGTCAAGGGCGGATCCAGGGAGGGGGTCATGGGGCCATGACCCCCTCCCCCCCTCCTTGGGCCAAAGCTGGATCCGCTCTTGCTTTTGGTGGTATTGTGATTCTGTCGGTGAGTAAGATTCCAGGGCTCCACGGGATCCTCCCTCTTGTTGTTCTGTCCTGTAAAGAAGGGAGCGGCGGAGGGAGGTACACGGGCACGCCCAAGTAGCCCTTCGCAACGGACATATTCGCAGGGTTTTTTAGGGGATATTATGCCGTAAAGCGCTCGTAAGAGTTACGGGGTCCTCAGTGAGCAGCCACTGCGGCGGCTCGTAAGGCTTGTGGGAGCCAGGTGTGAGGTCCGTTCAGCGTTGCCTCTTAAAGGCGCCGTCGCCTGTAAACAGGTTTTGACTGCGTCACAAAATAAAATTTACTCCAGGAGATAGTGGATGGGGTCAGGATTGGCAACGGCGCGAGTGTTAGCTTTGGTATCGTAAGCGTCTACAGGCTATGGTGGACCATTTGCTTGTTCGCCGCCCTTTAACATAAGAAAGTATGGATTTGATTAAGATCCATCCAAAAAACAATGTAACTTTTCACCTATTAACTGAAGCTGCCTAGCTCCGCTCCTCAATGTGCTCTTTGGGTCCAAACAACCAAGAACACAAACATTAATTTGGAATCTTTCAAAATTTCATGAGTTTGCTTATTTTCTATGTATACTTCTTGTAAACAATCGAGCAACTCATTCCCTTCCGAGAAAATATTTAGCCTCGTCTAATAGCAAAAGTTGTTTCATAATGTTTTTCTTAATTATCCATTTCCATTTTGCGTACATTACATTTTTAATTAATAAAGTAGGTACCTACCTGTCCATTAACGTGTCACGAACATCATGCGTTTAAACGATGATTTACACACTCCATAATTGAAAATTAAATAATTAACACAACTCATAGGTATAAACAAATATTTTTAACTCTCACGACAATCAGCTTAGCCCCAATATCACTGTAAGGCTTGTGTTAAGGGATACTACGGTAACGGATAGAAAAACTTTTATTGATACATAATAAACAGTCGAGGAGCTCGATGGCACAAGTGCCACCCGCCAATCCGCTGGGGCACAGGCCTTCCCTATGGATGGTATAGGAAGATTGGGCCATGGCCCAACACGCGAGCCCAGTCAGGATTGGTGGAGCTAATGACTGCAGATGCAGCCGGGACCAACGGCCTTCCGAAGCACAGAGGAGCTCGGGATAGTAAATTTTTGGTCACCCATCCAACGATCGATCACTGCGAAAGTAGCTTAACTTCAACGATCGCAGCCGAACGCGCTAACCACCCGTACCATCGAGCTCCTCCATACTTGTTACTTGTTGTGGGCCCCTGTTTCCGCACGTAGACTCGGTACTTGGTTCATTGTGCGTGCAGGGTATGTTGGGCTAGCTAGCTCAGCCAGCCCAGCTCCTTCCAGAAGCGCAGTAGCCTCCTGGGGCTCTCACAGGCTTCTAGGAGCGTCCTCGGCTTCCTGAGGATTGATGCCCGGTGTTCTGCAACGCTCGTGCATTCCAGGATCACATGAGCGGCCGTTTCATCTGCTTGCAGACCTCCTCTGCATAGAGAGCTATCTGTAACGCGTATGGTTAGTAAATGCTTGTTAAGTAGGCAGTGCCCTGTTATGGTACCTAGCATTACTCGGAGCTCCTCCATATATTCATACACTACAAAATAAAGAGGAAGCTGTGGCAAAAATACACACCATTATCTCCGCACCTTAACGCTTCGCGTCGAGTAAGATGGTGCCATTTGCAAGTCATTTGCCAAATCTTCACCGAAATTCTCAAATTAAGATAAGTTAAAAAGACTTTCGAACAGCCTACGTTTCAGGTGGTAATAAGTATTATAGGTAGGTAAGATATTCTGTTCGTGATTAATGAAACATCACGTTTGTTATTAGGATTAAAAGCCTGTGAAACAGCAATGCGGACATCAATCGATTTTTGATAATGGCATATGTCAATTATATAAAAATTGTACGAGTCTCGTGGAACACTGGAATGAAGTTGTAAATATTTTTATACCACTCGCCAATCCGCAATGGGCTCGCGTGACGAGTCATGACCCAATCTCCCTATTCCATAAAAGAAACGTATCCGAGCCACCAATCCGCACAGGACGCAGTGCGGAATGGGCCTAGTGCGGGTCGGGTCCTGTGCAGGTTACGGCCCAGTGCGAATTAGGCCAAGTGCGGATTAGCCCAATGCGGATTAGGCCCAGTGCAGATTGGGCTCAGTGCCCTCCCCTATCCATCTCAATATCTCCCAATTCCATCAAAAAAAAACGTATCCAACCTACTTATCCGAACTGGGGCCGGGTTGTGGGTCACGGCCCATTCCCCCGATTCCGTCAAACTATTAAACAAAACTTTAAACCAAGTCCTTAGTCACCGCCGTCAGTGGTCGCCTATCTCGGTACCCACTACTACCCACCCAGCTGCCTAACTAGCTGTCTAGTCACCTAGCTGCCTAGCCACCTAGCTGTCTAGCCACCTAGCTGCCTAGCCACTTAGCTGCCTAGCCACCTAGCTGCCTAGCCACCTAGCTAGCTGCTTCGCTAGGTTGTTACAGTGGCACGAAACCGCGGATTTTCCAACACAAATGCGGTACATACGACTACATAACAGGGGAGGCTCGCAATCCATACAAGCGTTCTCGACTGATACCTCCTTGATTTTTATCACTAAAGAACTGATTTTCATACATAAGTACAATTTTACTCATTCTATGCCCCTATGTTTTCCTTTTTTCGATAACTTGTGTTACAAAGAAACTAGAAGCTCTCGAAAAAGGCCAAAAATAAACAAATTTTTATCATCACTAAAGACGTCTAGTGTGGAGATTTAATTTACGAAAAAATCTAAAGTAGACGCATAGTATAACAACTTATTATTCTTTGTATAAAATTTATTATACATACATAACTAATTTTCGAGGAGGAAATCGTCGGGAGCCAAACCTCGAATTTTCCATTTTTTATACGCAATTTTCAGCGTTAACTACTGTTGTCCCTATCACACGGTATTTGCAAATGCGAAGCAGCAATAGTTTTTTCAAATACCTATTTCTCAAATGTATCTCAGCTCGTATCTGCTCTTTAAAAGCGGAACCGCGTAGGTTAAAAGCAGAAAAGCGGTAAGATTATCGGTATTAAATTTTTCGTCTAGCTCCCACCCACCATACCATCCGAAAAGGAATGTCGTTCCAAAATCTGTGATCATCCTTTTTGTTGTAGGTGATTCCTGCCATGTTCCACACGGCGAGCATCTGGCTGACGCTAGCGCTGGCTGTGCAGAGGTACATCTACGTTTGCCATGCCCCCGTCGCCAGAACATGGTAAGTCTTCTTGTGTAACGGCAAAAAGCAAACGTTACTGAATGAATGAATGATTTATGAATGAATGAATGATTCATTTATTTTTGAAGTTATACTTCTTTAGGCGCGTTATGAAAAAATGATGAGAGTGAAATTTTAAGATGCGCGCGCATCACTGTAACACAAAATTTTAACAGCATGAAGTTGGTCGCTTTAGCGACCAGCTTCATGCTGTTACTTTTCTGTTTACCGCACATTAAGAAAATCTACCAACAAAATAGAAATAGAATCTCTATTTAGTGGGTGCTAACGACTGCATTGTGAAGGCCTATCAAAAGTATTTATTAATCTGGAACAACGGAACCAAAGCGCGATTCAGGAGACTACAGCGCCATCTCTTGACCATTGGTGTGGTAGAACCAAAAACTACATCTTTATTTTTTGTAATAAAGTAACAGTTATAGGTTGTAAGTAACATGTTTCTAGTTTGTATATTCGGAATACGTGTTTGAGTTTCATACAAGTGCAAATCACATATGTTCTAATAAATTATATTCAGTAGCGAATTTAATTGAATATTTTGATTATTTATTTATTTTTTCAAATTAAAACTGAACTTTATTGACTGTGTCCTTTTCCAGACTTTTTATTAATTTATTGTAATTAATTATTTGCATGCAATTAAAAACTAATTTTAAACGATGCCAAAGAAGGATAACTTCTCACGCGCCTACATAAGTACACGCACCCTTTTTTCTCTCACTAAGTAACATTAATATTAAGTAAAACGGTATTCAATTACAATAACAGTTACTGACAAACTGATCTATCAACGCGGAGCTCAAACCACAAAAACGGATTGCGCATTTTTTTTTAAACTCAACCGCTTATTTTTATAACACAATCAGAAGAAGACTTCATTCAATAAATCTAAACCTGATTACAGAGTTTCGAAACGTCACCATTTTTACAAAATAATTATTGTTAATTATGTTTGAAAGGGAAAAATGTTCATTACATAATTTTTTTAACATTTTCTAAGCACTTTTAGAAATCGGTCGAACTGAATATAGAAAAAGAAGAAGGCAATAACGAAAATTCTCATGCTTTAAAACTAGTCAGGATTAATAATAAATTGATATTAATATGAATATGAAATGGATTACGGAATTTTATTTTAATTGTAGGTATAATAATTTATTAATTTATTTTACTATAGTGTCTTCGCTACAGTTTTTTTATATTAGATAAATATAAGTTATGGATTACAATCATGAAGAGTTTATGTTGTGAATCGCTTTAATCACCACTCGTGGGACTTCTATAACACCACTTAACATCAAGTGGGGTAGAGTCATTTGCCTATCTGGCTACATAAAAAAAAAAGGAAAACTACAGTGTACGCACAACCGAGGCCGGTGTGGATCAGCAACAAGAAACTTTCGCTTTTAATATCAGTACAATAATATGGGTAGACAGGAAGTAGAACTTTCTACAAATATAACTTATAATTGAGAAAGTTTGTATGTTTGTTACTCAATCACGCAAAAACAGCCATACGAATTTGAATGAAATTTGGCACACATAGTTTATTATCTGGATTGAGACATAAGATATTTTTTATCCCGGAAAAGTAAAAGGTTCCTGAGGGATTTTAAAAAAACTGATGTGAGCGCGGACGAAGTCGCAGCACCCACTAGTATATTTATAAAATTGCGATTAACAGTTAGAGTATAAGTTTGCCCAATAGTAATCAACGTATTTAATATAGAATTCCATGGTTCCTACTCCCCGTTCTCATAATGTATGACTGTACATTTTCGGCTTTACCACGAATGAGATAAAACGCCCCAATAAAGTTCCCCCTTGGGACTATTTGTCTGATTTAGTAAAAATGGCGTCGGCTAAAAACGACTGATGAAAGCGATCCATTTTTAACCTTCGGATCTGATTAGTTTTCAGAGCGGCGTTGTTGGAGCTGATGTATTTCATACAATTTTCAGATTTTTCTAGACTATTCGGTGTTTTTGTGGTGACCAAACGCTTGCTATTCATGCGACTATACCTACTGCATGGGATCGTGGCTAACCATAAGATCATCATCGTGACTTGCATATTAATGTCCCCACTGCTGGGGCACAGGCCTTCCATTTGGATGGAATAAGAAGATTAGGCCTTGATCCACCACGCGGGCCCATTGGAGGCCGCTTTTGACTGCAGATACAGACGGGACGTGCCTGCCAAAGCACGTATGATCTCGATGTCTTAAGTTTTTGGTCACCCATCCAATGACTGACCATTACAAAAGTTGCTTAACTTCCACGATCGCAGCCGAAAGCGTTAACGCTAACCACCTGCGCCATGGACCCAGAGAAACGCTTCGAAACCAGAAACAAACCCTAGCGCATGTGCATTATTTTTATATGGAAATTCAAAATGAAAGGTAATATCATGAATCAACGCATATTGAAGTCATTTTTCAACTTGACATCGTTCAACATTTAAAAATTGGGGAGAAAATGCTGAGTTTCTTGTTGATTCTTCTCAGTACAAGGTCTCTCGCTGTAGATTTACGAACCGATGGCGTAGCTTCTAGACATTCGTGAGTACTTATAACAGCCCAAACTGAATAAACATATTTGAATTGGAATCAATATTGGTCTTTTACCTATCATTTTCTCTGTTCACCCTCTTCAACTTTTATATTTACGACACAAAGAAATATATGTTCAAGTCCAGAATTCAATCTGTCTAATACAGAAAAATAAGAAATAGAAAAAAAAGAAATTGATTTATGGTTTTCAGACATTCGCGAATAATAAATCTGCTCTATTTTAAAAAGTAAAGCTTAGTTTCTCGTTTATTAAAATTTTCACTACACTTCAATGTATACTTTTATCTAAAGAAAATATAACTAGAAAAAATTCCACGCGGACCAGGCAGCAGACGGGACTCGAACCCGCACCCTTCGCAATCCGGGCGAATGCACTGACCAATTATGCTACCGCGGCCCTCACGGACCGCGTCGAAATTCTTCTAGCCATTCTTAAGCTGCAAGGCAGCGCCATCTCTTCGCATTATAGGTAACCCACTATGTCAAATGAATACTTTTACAAGTATTAAACATTTGAAAGAAGAAATAGCAATTGACGACCTCCGTGGCCGAGTGGTTTGTACGCCGGGTTTCATGGCTGTCGCCGACTCGAGAGGTCCCGGGTTCGAATCCCGGTGGGGGCAGATGTTTGTGTGATGAATACGAGCATTTGTACTCCAGTCATGGATGTTTAATATGTATTTATATAAATATACTTATATATGTACAGTATATGTATTCTATCCGTTACCCTAGCATCCCATAACACAAGCCTTATAGTGCTTACTTTGGGGCTAGGCTAATTGGTGTGAGTGTCGGAAATATTTATTATTATTATTATTAATTATAGTTATAATTTTTATTATTTTAAAGCATGTAACTGTTTGATGTTTAAATCTAAAGAAAATATAACTAGGTTACCTATAATGTTTCTACCCGGGCCGGTGCCAAGTAAGCTTGTACTCTTCGTTTGTACTGACCCCAATCCGTTGCTTCATAGTGTCCCATACTTAACTGAAGAACGGACGTAGATGTAGGATATAGATATTTATTGTACAACTAGTGGCCCGCCCTCGCTTCGCTTCGGTGTAGAGCTGTAGTGTGTATAGTTTTTGTTCTCAGGCTTGTGCGTAAACAATGACTTTATTTATATAATTACACGTGTTATTGTGAGTCAACCATAAAAGATAAACATATGCTGTTGCAGGATATTTTTTAGCCAATTTTATGTCGAATATTTCCGTCATACATGATTTCTATGTAACTTTAACCACACTACCTACACACGCGACGGAAGCTTAAAAAATGTAGTAACTTCTCCTGTTTTCCCAACATTTCCCTTCACTACTCTGCTGCTATTGATTGTAGCGTGATGAAAAGTATACTATAACCTGCCCAGGAGTATGAAGAATAATTGTACCAAGTTTCGTTAACATCCGTCGAGTAGTTTTTGTTTCTATAAGGAACATACACACAGACAGACAGACAGACAGACAGACAAAAATTTTACTGATTGCATTTTTGGCATCAGTATCGACCACTAATCACCCCCTGATAGTTATTTTGAAAATATATTTCATGTACAGAATTGACCTCTCTACAGATTTATTATAAGTATATAGATTAAACATAAACAATATTAGTATTGCGGCTGATTTTATAGTCATACAGAGAACGGGAGCTGTTTTGATTACAGTGGTGTACCGTACGATCCACCCCACCTTGTCGCTTATAAATACAGTTGTTGTCGTGGGGTGGCGGTTAGTCGTGTCACCGATCTTCAAGAGTGGACTAGTTGTAACTAGCTCGGAATGCACAAGTACAGTGCAAGAATAAAGTGTTAATATTAAGACGTGCTAATAAGAGACTCCACAATAGCTACGAAAACCGTGCTCAAACCCGGGTAGAAATCGTCTCATTAACAAGCGCCCTAACACGACAAATGGGATTCTGAAAATTACTCTATGAATCAATCTAATGAATGTCTTAAATCGTGCCTTGATAAAGTAGTTTTTAAAAAAATATTTTTTATGAAATATGGCCTAATAAGTTCAGCCAACCTGATTTGGTGAAGGCGTGATTAATACTCTGGTTGCAAAGGTCTAGGCCAAGGATGCGCAAACATTTTCCTTACCGTGCCATTATTTATTAGCAGAATCTAAGGCGGCTGGCCCCAGATTGTTGTGCTCAGGCCGCTTTCGATTTGATTTCAATAAAAAAATCCTTAGCACTCAGAATTATGTAAGGATTCTTCTTTGATTATTAACTCCTATATAGAGCGTGGCAGCGCAGATGACATTAAAAAAAATATGAGCCAACTGTTTGACTCTAAGTGTTCAATGTAACGCTGACCGATACGCACGACAATTAGAGAGTTTCGTGTTGAAATTATTGCTTTGAAATGCCGAGATACGCGATAAAAGTTTGC